CCCTCTGCTGCCACTAACCGGACACGCCGGTCCAACCGAGACCAGCGTCCGGTCACTTACAGAGACCTCCGTCTTTTCTGTCTAGGGCGTCGGTGGAGTTTCTTACCCTTGCACCCAAACTTGACCACCCTTGATCAAATGTGCCAACCACCAAGTGTATCACCTTGTGCACATGTGTTAGCATATTTTCACAAACATTTTTAAGGGTGTTAGCACTCCACTAGATCATAAATGCATATGCAATGAGTTAGAGTATCTAGTGGCACTTTGATAACCTAAATAGTACGGCTATCAAACCTAAATATGATCACACTCTCTAAGTGTCTCGATCACCAAAATAAAATAGCTTATACAAATTATACCTTTGCCTTGAGCTTTTTGTTTTTCTCTTTCTTCTTTCCAAGTCGAAGCACTTGATCATCACCATGACATCATCTTTATCATGCTATGATCTTCATTTGCTTCACCACTTGGAGTGTGCTACCTATCTCATGATCACTTCATAAACTAGGTTAGCACTTAGGGTTTCATCAATTCACCAAAATCAAACTAGAGCTTTCACCAGTGCGACAGCAGCTCTCTCTTTCTCATCTCCATTGGAGACCCAAAGCTTTCTCTCTTGATTTCCTTTCAAATCCATGTGAGATTAAGCCTCCGGAAGTAATTAGAAAGCGGATTCAACTATTCTTCAACTCCTAGAGCACTTGGTTCATGTTTTAACTGGTGGATTATGTTTGTTACTCTTGGAGCTTGCTCCTAGCCGACTAGCGTCGCCGGAAGCTTCCAACTTGTGTGTGGCTGCATCGAAAAGTTTGTAATCACCCAAGCATCTAGTAAGAAAACCCTCATCTCAAGATTCACTTCCTTGACTTGAGAACGAGGTAGGTTTACAGAATCCGAGCCTTAGTGACAATCCTCAACAACGTGGAGGAAGACAAACCTTACTAGCGAGTTGAACCACGAGATAAATACTTGTGTCACTTGATGTTCTTGTTCTATTACTTGTGCTATTTGTTTGTGGGGTGATTTTAGGTTTTGGTCCCATTCTACTTGGTGGATACCTCCTACTACTTCTAACAGTTGATCTAGGCTCTACATTGCATCCGGAAGCTCAATAATTTTCCCGATCTAAATTTCATTGATAGATTTTGAAATGGGGGACGAAGTTGTCTGCAGGTGCTGCAGTGCTGCAGTGCGGTAGTGCCGTAGTCAGAAGCAGCAGTGCTGCTCCCTGGATTTGACTTTGTGAAAGTGCAATCAAGCCCTAATTATGGGTTTTGGTGATGATGACCGCGTAATTAGAGAGCTAATGAGATTTATCAAGATGACAAGCAGGGAATCTATGTTCGAGGATGTTATACAAAACAGAGGAGCCTTTAAATTCTTTTATATTTTGAATTTGAGTATAGGAAAAGCCGTACTATAAAGGGAAGCTAATATGTGCTACCAAGTGCTCAATGTATCATATACATCCTCAGTTTCACAGCCAAGACAACCATCACTTCACTCTTACCCTTGTTGTCTTGCCTGAGAGAGGCACCGCCGCTAAGCGGCACTACCGCACTTGGGCTGCGGCACTGCCGCGACTTAAGTGACCGTTGGAAGGCAGGGGGTATTTATACATTTCCCCTTCCTCTCCAACGTCTCTCTCTTCTTCCACCTCGGTTCAGACCGACGAAAACAGACAAGTGCTCATCTCTCTCTTTTCCATTGGTGCCCTTCAAGCTCTCAAGCTTTTCCTTTGATTTCCCCATCAATCCTTGAGAGAAAAATGTCCCAAACTCGATTATAGAGCAGATCCTTTGATTCCCCAACTCACAAGAGCACTTGGTTCATGTTTTGGTTGGCGGTTGTGTTTGTTACTCTTGGAGCTTGGCTCCTAGCCGGCTAGAGCGTCGCCGTGGAGCTTGCTAACTTGTGTGACAGCTCCGGAAGGTTTGTAACAAACTCTTGAAACTAGTAAATTCATCCCTCATCTCAAGAGTTAAGTCTCTTGACTTGAGAACGAGGAAGAGTTGGAAAGCCCTAAGCCTTAGTGGCTAACCTCAACAACATGAACTTAGGCAAGTCTTAGTGGCGAGTTGAACCACGGGATAAATCATTGTGTAACCTTGTGCTAGATTTACTTCACTTACATTTTATATTGTTGTTGAGGTGGTTTTTAAGGTTTGTGGTTGATCTACTTGTGTATGGTGTTCCTACCACTTCTACCTCTCGATCTGTAAATCTCATGCCTGCAGGAAGCTAAGGAATTTCTCCTATCTAAGTTTTCATTCACTGATTTTGAACTGTGACTCGAAGTTGTCTGCAGGTGCGGTAGTGTCGCTGTTCTAGCCCAGCAGTGTCGCGAGGTTAGAGCGGCAGTGCCGCGGGTGAAATTTGACATCTGCTTGAGTCTTGTTTTAACAGGCCTATTCACCCCCCTCCTGGCTAACCAGAGATCCTACACTTTGGTTTAAGTTTTGTTTTAAACAGGGCCTATTCACCCCTCCTCTATGCTAACCAGAGATCCTACACGTTGAATATTGCTCACAGTAAAAGTAGGGTGAATAGGTCATCTTCTAAAATTCAAAGTTGTAGCGGGATTTAGCAACTCACAGATGTTGCGAGTTCTAATTGTGACTATGATAACCTGACACAACGGAACAAAAGGATAAATTAAACTATGATTATGTGATTTCAGCTGAATCCAATTGCCACCACATGTTCTAACACAATGTTTTTAAGCCTTCCCATAGACCACGTGTAATGGCTGAAAAGGACTGAGATGTCATTTGGGGGTGGGGGTGGGGTAATAAGCAATATATATATATATATATATATATATATATATATATATATATATATATATATATATATATATATATATATATATATATATATATATATATATATATATATATATGCACCGGATTAGTCAACCTTCGGAAGTTCCAAATGTTCAGAAGTTCAGCATTGATATAATAACTCGAGATGGAACTATGCCTAGAGAGTTCTAGCTCCAACTAAATTTGGATATACAAGTTTAGAGATATCGACTAGCAAGCCCACAAGAGCACTTGCACTCACAAACATGTACAACCAAATAGATCGAGTGTGAAACACAAATCAAAGTAAGAACTTGAATTAATCAAATCGAAGTGAAGACACCAATATTTGTTGCCCTAGGTTCAGCTCCTTTCGAGGAAGGACTTACGTCTTTGTTGAAAAAGCCATGAGCGACCACCAAAGGTTAAGTTAGTTGGGTCTCTTCCAACTGTTTTCCTTGATCCACTATCTTGACTTTCCCTTACAGAGACAAGATTGATGTCTAAATAGATTTTTATTTAGTTCACCACAAATAGTGCACAAATTGCTTAACGAACCTCATAAATGCTCAAGGATTTGATTGATCACTCTTGTATTCACAAACTACCAAATTCTTACCCCCACAATTCAACTCATAAAATCTCATTTGAATTCTCACACAGAGGGATTACAAAAAGCTAGAGACTTCGTCTTCAGCTATGGTCGTGGGGAGGCACCACCAATCCCTCCAAACTAGGGAGTGGGGTATAAATATCACATACTCAAAAATTAGCTATTATGTTAGATCCGGAACTTCCGGATTTGAACAAATTAGTCGTTGGAACAAGTGCATAGGTCCAGAACTTCCGAAGAAATGTCCAAAACTTTCAAAGAAACCTTTGAAACCTCTGAAGCTCAACAAAACAATATGGAAACGCTAGAACTCTCTAGTCAACGACACGTCATAGGTTACCCCCTATGTATAGATTTTTGCACCAACAAGATAAGTGCACCATCTCCTAGTTTGCTATAGATTCACCATTATTTAGAGATCTTATCTATGACTATAGCTAATATTAAAAATGATAATATTTCTTCCTTCAGCTTTTGCTCCCGCGTTCCTCCGTCACTTACTCCTCTTCCGTCCTCTTAATCTGTCGTGCCTCGCTCTCACCGTTCCCACAAAACCTTCATTGGTTCTGTGCCACTCATGTCATGCTCTAACTGTTCGAGCCCATTTATATCGCGGCGCACGTGTAGACATGTGACTTGATTTTAATGTTTCTTAAACTCATAGTACATCACATAATAGGCAACATATTTAAATTGATCTAATCTCCCGTCAAAATTATGTATAAGATTAATATTTTATTGCACTACCATTTATTATGAGCCATGAAATTTATTTTATTTAAAATTAGACTAAGTCTAACTAAATTCAAAAAAAAATAGTTATTATCTCATTATTATTGGTCTAAACGGTACACATCAAATCGTAACTGACATGTTTGTTATAAAGTAGTAGAAAATGCACGCGTTTCACTTGGATTAAGGCGAACTTTGTTCTTTTGAGGCTACTATGTGGAAGTTTTATTAGAGTTTCATTTACATTTAATAAGCTATCACATAAACATTTTGATGATGTGGCAATATTTTAAAAAAGAGAGAAGAAGTGAGTTTCATACGGACGGAACTATCTTGATAAGATTATTAATTCTACGTGAGTCATGAAATTAAATGGCTATAAGACTATAGAACAAATTAAATTTTTCATTAAAGCAAATGTTTCATATCTGTTTCATTTTAATCATACGACAGTTTTAAAAACATCATCATAAAACATGTCATTGAGAGTTTGAGACTGACCTTATACAAAGGTACGTGTGACCGTTTTGTGATTCAGCGCGCGCGCCTGACCGGCCGAAAGTCGTTCGTACGAACAAGTGCGGACGCGGGCAGATCTCGCTCCTTCTCGTCGGCAGTCCGGCGTCGACGAACCAATCCGGGCAGGCAACCAGTCAGCCTCAGCCACGACCAGTAAAGCCTCCGGCCCCGGGGCCCCGCGTCGCCCTCCCACGCGCTGGAGAATAATTCGGGCAAAAGGCAAAAGCATCGTCGGCACTACAGGGAAGAACGTCTCCACTGCCCCGTACGCCGATACCCACTGACGCCGCCGTCCGAAGCCTCCCCGAGAAACAGGAGCCGGCGCGGGGATGGCGTCCATCTCGCGGAATCTCCGGCGATCCCTCGCCCCGGACCGCCTGCGCCGCCTGCTCCTCCTCTCCCAGCACCCGCGGGAGTACGTGACGGCGGAGTGCCACCGCCCCGTCGTCCTCCACAAGCGCGGCCCCGACATCCTCCACGACCCCTGGTTCAACCGGGTGCGCCTCGGTTCCGTTCCGTTCCGTCCGGGTGCTCTCGGGCGAGCGGGCGGGCGGGCGGTGGTGCTCCCTGTCTAGTTCGCGCTCTTGGGGGGTTCTGAACTTCTGACGCTGCTGGCTGCTGCAGGGCACGGCGTTCTCGATGACCGAGAGGGACCGCCTCGGCCTCCGCGGCCTGCTCCCGCCCAACGTCGTCTCCTCGCAGCAGCAGATCGACAGATTCAGTACGTGTGCCCCGTCCTGACGAGACGCTTCATTGCTTACTCTGGCTTTTGGGGTTTGCTACTTGCTGCATGAATCGCCGCGGATCTAATTGGATCGGCCGCTGTAGTGTGGAATGGTTTTCGACGAATGTGGTGCTTGGCGGTGTGTTGGTGTCAGATCGTCCCCTGGGGCTTAGTTCAGCTAATGCTCCAATTGGTTAGCATGGTTAGCATTAGGAATATCTTTAGAAGCTATGGACAAACAGAAAAGCTTCCCTAAAAGTTTACAATCAAGCAGTATGACATATTTATGGAAAGCTTAAGTGCGGAATTTGCACATTCTTATCCACAGCTAGAGCTAGAGCCTAGAGGAGATGCATCACTGATGGGTGGTATTCTAGCTGGGTTTACACTTAGTAACTATGTAAGCCATTTGGGAAAAGCATTATCACTGAAATAGACTGTAACTGCATTCTGCATATTTATTTATTTTTTTAAAAATCTAATTTATACTTTGGTTACAGTGCTTGATCTGCAACGGCTTCAGAGATACGCTAAAGATGGGCCATCTGATACTTATCCACTGGCAAAATGGCGCATCCTTAACAGATTGCATGACAGAAATGAAACGATGTACTACAAGGTGTGTACCTTCACAGTCTGCACATTCATTTAGGCACATCCTTTTCTTGTTGATGTTGCATGTTCTGTTAAGGAACAATATCTTTGGTTTACGCCTCCAATGTGTGGTTATGCACCTTTTGTGTTAACTTTATTGCCTTTGCGATATCAAACATAACTGATTGAGTACTTGTTAAGTTCTGTTTCCAAAATGGTTGCCTTACATTGTCTCATTTTTAAATAGGTACTAATAGATAACATTGAGGAGTATGCGCCTATCGTTTACACACCAACCGTCGGGCTTGTTTGCCAAAACTACAGTGGTTTGTTTCGACGGCCTAGGGGAATGTACTTTAGTGCAGAAGATCGTGGGGAGATGATGTCCATGGTGTACAATTGGCCAGCTGATCAGGTATGGGTCAGTTAAGTGCTTGCCCAGTGTCCACTTACTAATTGTCTTCTGTAGTTGAGCTATTTCATTACCTTCAAGGTATAGTACAGTTGTGTTAAGATATACCTTTCAGTCCGTTGCATTTTGGAGATCTAAAAGGACAAACATTTGCCGAAGAACTTTTCTACAATTCCAATTAAATGAAAAATGGTCATTTGGTCAATCTGTTTCAGGTTGACATGATAGTGGTGACTGATGGAAGCAGGATATTGGGCCTTGGTGATCTCGGGGTGCATGGTATTGGCATTGCTATTGGAAAATTGGATTTATATGTTGCTGCTGCTGGAATAAATCCTCAAAGGGTATGTTGATTGGTTCTTTAGGACTCTAATTTCAGATTCTTCCCCTCTTTCCCATCTTATTTTCAGTTCCACACTAAATAGGCCATTTTTTGCAGCCAAATAACAAAATATTCTTGTGATATACACTTCAAAGATTGGAATTGTTCTTTCGTTGCTTTGGTTTGGAGTAAATTTGATAATTTAAAAAAGTCTCAAAGAAATATGCCCATGGAAGATATTCATCAAAGACCTATTTGACATCTGAGTGGATTTTTCTTTTTGGGAACCATGTTCTTAATGAAACGTTAATAGCTTGTAGAGTACACTAGTGTTATCTAAAGTGTAACTCTCAAGTAATCTACTGTTATTTCTTTACTTGCTTACTATTGGTTTTCATGTGGACAAATAGATACTTGTCTTTCATGTCTTTGATTGCTTTCTTATATTTTTTTTTCTAGGTACTTCCTGTTATGATTGATGTCGGAACGAACAATGAGAAGCTCCTTAAGGATCCTCTTTGTAAGATCTTGCAGTATTTATTTATCTATCAAACACCTAGTTTTGTTTTCACATATTTGTCATATCAAACACCTAGTTGTTATTTCACATTATGGCCACTTTCTAACTGTAAAGGAGAAGATCATGTAGCAAGTGCCGTAGATATCCATGTTTTCTAACACATATAGTGGCACCTGTTCAAATTAGTTACACTTGATACTTAGCAAGATATCAAGAAAAGTTGTCATGTTATTCTAATTTTTCTTAATTCCTTATCATACAGATCTTGGGCTACAAGAGCACCGCCTTGAGGGAGATGAATATGTCTCAGTTATTGATGAATTCATGGAGGCTGTTTTTACTCGCTGGCCTAATGTTATCGTACAGGTGCTATTTTGACATTCTATGCTTCATTTCATTAACATTTTCATTACGTGAGGCTTTATCCCGAACCATATCACAATACTTATCTTGTATTTTTTTAGTTTGAAGATTTCCAAAGTAAATGGGCGTTTAGGTTGTTGCAGCGTTACAGAAAGACTTATCGCATGTTTAATGATGATGTTCAGGTCAGTCCTAATTTCTGCAAATTTGTTCCTAAGATTTGCCGCATGTTTGTGCCAATAGCCCCTAGTTTTTGGTGATACCATTGCACAATATTTTATCAAGCTTTTAGAAGTGAAATAGAGCTTGAGGTTTTGACCTTTGACATCTGGTTAAAGTACTCTAGTTAGTATCTTCCATTGTTATCTAGAAGAGTCAATGTGTTGCTCTTGAAATGAGTATTCTTTGTGCATACAAAGGGAACTGCTGGTGTCGCAATAGCAGGCCTTTTAGGAGCTGTACGGGCACAAGGGAGGCCAATGATAGATTTCCCAAAGCAAAGGATTGTTGTTGCTGGCGCTGGCAGGTCCGGAACGCTCTCTGTCTTCAATCCTTTTTTTTCACTTGGTTTAAAATTAGAATAACATGCTAAGTGATTCACAGCAACTCTGTGTTTATTTTTCTGTTAACTTAGCAGTTAGCATATTCACTTCAGAAAGAATCTTGGAAATATGAGTAATGTTAACACTACTGTGCAAAAGAAATATTACCTCTACATTATTTCATTCTTTACAGTGCTGGTATTGGAGTGGTGAATGCTGCAAGCAGAACCATGGCAAGAATGTTGGGAAACAATGAGGTTGCTTTTGAGAGTGCGAGGAGTCAATTCTGGATAGTTGATGCCCATGTAAGTTGGATAACCAAGAACCATTTAACGATTCATACATTTGCAGGGTTGCCTATTATTTTATACTATCCACTCCTTCACCACTTGTATTTGGAATGATAATCTTAAGTAGAAAGAAAGGCTTGGGAAGTCACATGCTCTAAGAAATTTAAATGGATCACCACTGTTGTATTTATCATGTCGTGTCATTGAGAGTGCCTCTTGCTCTATAAGAATTGATTAGCTGTGCCCAATCATTCAAAACGTAAAGTTGTCTTTGTTTTTGCTAAGTTTTTTGGACATACTAATTTTCTGTACTTTTATGAACTCATAACCTGATTTGCATTTTCCCTTGTGTAGGGCCTAATAACAGAAGACCGAGAAGATATCGATCCAGATGCACGGCCTTTTGCTAGGAGAAAGAGTGAGCTTGGTCACCAGGGCCTAAGTGAGGGGGCAAGCTTAGTTGAAGTGGTACTGTCTAATCTTGTACATGGTGCTTTTATAAGCATGATGCATTGTGAGGTTACTAATTTTTAAAGGATGAACTACCACACTTTGTGAAGGAATATGTATTCCCAAAATAAGTTTCTAATATGGACCCGGTTCATTACTGCACTCTTTATTGAGTCATGCTCTTTTCCAAAGAGACCAAGTATGAATTTAGGTTTGAAAAGTCCCCCTCCACAGCAAATACTAAGGAGCATTCATTGCTGACTGTTGTGATGCAGCACCGCATACAAAATGACGACACATGACTTTTAACACAGTTTATCTGTGGTCTAGAGATAATGCCATTTCATGTGGTGTTAGACTGACTCAGATCATTAAACCTCACCCAACTTGGGGTTTTCTGTTATTTCTGTTTTTTCTAGTCTTTCTGACCCGAAAATACAGCAGGGGAGACCCCCACTGTAAGAGATTTTTATTAATTTTCAAAAAGAGGAAAAAACTGTACAAATTAAAGAGGGGCTAAAAGAACTAAGCCACACAACCAACAAGAGGGCAGGAGAAACTGCACTCCAGAGAAGCAGAAGAAACTAGGAGAGGGGGTCTAAACAGAGGAGAAAAACATGTCGTTTTTCTTAACAAAGTCTAAAGGCTTGAAGTTTGGCTTCCTCATAAAAGGAGGTTTTCCAAATTAAGCTACTATGTTTTTTCTGGTCTGACATGTTTTTAGATTTTCTTTTCAAGATTGGCATTTATGAAATATTACAATTATCAGCTTATGTATGTATGTATATTTAGCATTAAAAAATGACTTAACAAACTGGCCTTTAGCTTATGAACTGAACATCTGGTATGGTACCTTGTATGTTGTGCAGGTTAAAAAGGTGAAGCCTGATGTCATACTTGGATTATCTGCTGTTGGTGGTTTGTTCTCGAAGGAGGTAAGAATAGTTGCATGTTACTTTCTGCTTATTCCAAAGCATTTACTCTAATGCTATAGTATTAATATTAATTCATGCTTACTGGGCAGTTACTCTTTTCACCCTTCTACTGGTTTCCTTATTGCAACTTCATTTTCATAAGATAAGTAGGGGAGAGCACTACTGACTTTTTTCCTTGAACCAGCAGTAGAGCTGCCTGTTATTATTAAGAAGGGAAAGGTACAAAAAGAAAACAAACCCCATCAGGGCCTAACATGCACCTCTCACCCCACACTCACAGAACTCAAAAAAGGAAAAACAACCTCGTCAACTGGAGTGATGCAAGCAACCCTAGACCAATAATTAAGACTCAAGACCAAAGGGATTCCAACTCAATGGCACCGGCAGAGCGCCACAGAGAGGATGCTGAATACCCTGGACAAGCTGAGGAATGTTATGATTCCTCCCTTCAAAGACAAAACCATGACTATGTTTCCACAAATACCAAACCACTAACATGACCAAGGAGTGTGAAATCAGGCCTTGCTGATTTTTCTTTACCTCATTGCCTTATTGGACGTAATAAGCAAATGATGGGGGATCTCCAGTTAAGAGCTGCTGGCTCAAAAGTTAACTTAAAATTACAAGATCACAAACATAACCAAATCTGCAGAAAGTCGCCTTTTCCGTCTATTCTTAGTGCCCAGCTATGTGTATTATACAAAGCCGTCAGCCAATTAGATGAAGTCCAAATTAAGCTACTATGTGCAAGCATAAGTCCTCATTGCCCATAGATCTCCATCTGGCTGAAGCGCAGGCCTAACTGGAGCCTCACCACATTTTTTTGCACGGTGACCACGAACAGGCAATTGCGCCCGCCCCGCCCATGGGCCATGCTCTGCCACTGCCTCATAGCTGCAACATAGAAAAAAAGTTAGCAAATCCACATAATATTTGGAGAGAATTGAATGAATCATTTTCTGTACAGTTGGTACAATTTTTTTTTAAATAGAGTAAAGCACAATGTAGGTTCCTAAATAAGTCGGTAAGCTACAGAGCTGCACATTTTAGGTCCTTCAACTTGTATAAGTGATCAGGTCAACAAAGGTCTAACTCATCTAACTCATACCAATGTTGAAACTTAGATATCGTATAATGTCTTTAGCTTGATCTAAATTATTTGTCTGACTACATGATATTCAAGTAAGAAAAAACACTCAACCCAAGGGGAGAGACATCCCGAAGGCATTGCTTGAAAGGCCTAGAAAAGTTACCCAGAAGCCAGCTCTTACCTGTATGGGCACTGCTGTCAGCATGTCACAGTCCTTGTCTTGACCCCTTTTGGGGAACACAGAGGGGCCTTTTTTTTTCAAAGAACCAGGGCTCGGGCCCTTGTTAGTAGCCTCACAGCTGCAGGACTTACCACCATGCTACAAGTATGTTCTCCTCTTGGTTCTGGACAATATGATACTAAAGTAAGGTCAATGGAAAACTGATGTCTTTGTAAGTTTGTATCCTGAGAAATATTTATGTATTTTCAAAAAAATCTACTTCCTTCCCTTTGCTATTACTGATCAAACATGTATTCAAAGTTTAGCTTCACCAAACATTTGCACTTAAGTCAGATCCGAGCCTGCTCTCACATGGTTAAGCAAGTTTTACAACTGAAATATGCAGTTCTCGAGTTTAGAGATCTAGCGATTTATTTGTGTATGAGTTTAGGGTACTAGAATGCACCTTTGTCAAATAATACATATGAGTTATAGCACCAGTGGCATTTGTACTAATATGATAAGTGGATTACATCTAATTTAGCCATTGTACTCACCGTTTTTTTTACTTTGAAAAGCTATAAGATATTGAAGTGCATGCTCATAATGGGGTACTTGTACCATCAGGTTCTAGAGGCACTAAAAGATTCATCCTCTTCGAGGCCAGCAATTTTTGCGATGTCCAATCCAACTAAGAACGGTTTGTGCCGTGTAATTTCCATCTGATGTTCATTATTTGCTGCATCTCTTATCTGATTATGTACTCATTCCATTTTGTAGCTGAGTGTACACCTGGGGAAGCATTTTCAATTCTAGGTGAAAAGGTCATCTTTGCTAGTGGGAGCCCATTTGATGATGTGGATCTTGGTACCTCTTTCCATTAGTAGTCCTTGTGACTCATATTTATAGGTAGGATATCAATTTTTCATATGTTGACTCTCAGCCATTAATGCATCTTACAGGTGATGGGAAGATTGGCCACTCCAATCAAGGGAACAATATGTACCTCTTTCCTGGGTTAGATAATTATCATTATCATTATCATTATACACTATGCAATCGGGTTTTGTTCTTATGACAGTTATGGTTTCATTTTTGGCTTCTTTGCTGTGCAGAATAGGGCTTGGAACCCTTCTGTCTGGTGCTCGGGTTATCTCTGATGGAATGCTGCAGGCTGCAGCAGAACGGTGACTCCCTTGACCTCTTACCATTAAACCTTGTAACACAAATACACAATTGGGCTATTACTTACATCTTTAACTGTAAAATTTACTGTGTAAATTTTTCTGTAGTTTGGCTTCATACATGAAAGAGGAGGAGGTTCTCGAAGGGATAATTTATCCTCCAATCTCCAGGTTTTATAATTCTAATCTGATCTTCCTGTTTGTGTTGTATGCTATGCCTTCTATTCTAATATGTCCTACATGCAGAATACGTGACATCACTAAGGAGGTGGCAGCGGCAGTTGTGAGGGAGGCAGTAGCAGAGGATCTAGCTGAGGGATACCGTGACATGGATGCATATGAGCTTGCACGACTCAGTGAGGTGGTTAATCTCTTCATTTCCCAAGCAAATTATGTTATAGTCTTATTATGGCCTTTTTTTCACCTTGAAGTCATGGTGATGCAGGAAGAAACTATTGAATATGTCAAAACGAACATGTGGAGTCATGTCTATCCAACAATAATATACAAGAAGGACTAGATAGCTCTATTTGCTATTTTTGCATATGTTCAATGATCATGTATGATATACTTTAGGCTGCGTTTTGGAAGGTACTCCAGAAGTGTAGGTACGTTAGTTATAAGCAACGCAGCTTTCATTGTTCATTGACCTCACTTTTAATTGAATTTAGGACACGAGGCCCTTTGGGCCAATAATATGGGCTACAGTTCCTGACGTACTCCATCGTGCTGAACATTTCCCATCTCAAATATCAGCTGTACCACTACTAGAACTGCACATCTTTCTCAGATGTTAAAATCTTGTGTGTAACTTTGAACACAGACCAATAACAAAGCCATAAATTTGCCAGAGGAAATCTGTTCTGGCTATTTGCTTGCCAAAATCGTTTGATGGTTATCTCTTTCCTTGCAATTTATTTGTTTCATCTGAAATATCAGTTCTGAGTTTTTATTTGTTGTTGTTGAGGTTAGAGAGGATGAAGTTACTTATGTTTTTTTTGCTATTGATATTCGAGAAGATTTTTACTTATGTTTACAATTTATTTGTTTCATCTGAAATATCAGTTCTGAGTTTTTATTTGTTGTTGTTGAGGTTAGAGAGGACGAAGTTACTTATGTTTTTTTGCTATTGATATTTGAGAAGATTTTTACTTTTTTTTTTGGTGCTGAGATTTCAGAAGATGAGATTAGAAGAATACACCAGCTATATGGCTCATCCGTGCTTAATGAGCTCTATGACTTGCATGATCTATGCACAAATTGGGAGCAAGTCCTACAGCCTGGCAAAAAATGTTGTTGACACATTAGCCAGAAAAAAAAAATGCTATACAACACACATGTGTTTTAGCGCAAAAAAACACATGGATTTTTTCTCTCTTCTTCCCTCCGTTCTGCTGACGCCGCGCAACGCACGCATGCGTCCTCTGATCCCGCCCACGCCGTCGCTCCGCCCACGCTGTCGCTATGTCCAAGCAAAGCGACGTGTTCTCTGACGCACGCACGCACGCGTTCTCTGACGCCGCGCAACATGCAGCTCGGTCTATAGCGGATCCAGCTCCAGTAGCCTCTCCTCCTCTGCTGTGATTTGTCCTTCCATAGAAAAAAAAATTATTTTTTATGATCTGTGTATCTGTGATCTTGTGATTTGTTATTGTCTGGAGATAGAAGAAGGCTGGAGGCTGGAGGTAGAAGGAGGGTGAAGGCTGTTGGATCTTAATTCTATGATGCAAAAAAAAATTCATATATTGAAACTGCATAAAACATATGGTTGTTGGATAGACAGACTCAAAAAAAAATCTGACTTGCATGATATGGGGTGTTTGGTTTAAGAAATGGATTGATCCCATACCCTTCTCATTCTCACATTCCACTCATTTTTCTTCTGTTTGGAGAATGGAATGAATTCGAACTCTTAGCATGCATGATTAGTATTAACATAGAGAATAAAACAACCGTACAAAAAATTTTACGGGACACTCATGATGTACCCTCCTGTTTAGAACGATGTCATTCCTCAAACCAAAGTCTTTGGTAAGCTTGTTCATCAATTGTAAAAGTCAAAATTGAAAAGCAAACCCTTCAAACTGGTATAGAGCATGGGCAACTTCCTAAGACTGTCTCCAACAGACTACGCATCTCATGACCCATACCCAAAATACGGCGTATACAGGGAAAAAACATCCTCCAACGGACTACGCAAACAGATTACCTATTTTGCGTCCACGGTAAGAGGCAACCCAAAACTGTGTCGCCTTCTCCCCGCTCTCCTCCGACGCCGCCCTCTCCCCGCACTTCCCTCCCGCGCTCACGAACGCCGGTGCCGGCGCGCTGGACCTGTCCTTCACCTCCACCGCCTCCGCCTCCACCTCGTCCTTCACCACCGCCACCACCTTCAGCGCGCGGAGCTCGCTGTCGCCGCCGTCCTCCTCCTCCACGTCGCTCTCCCCGCGCCCGCACTCCTCCGCGTCCCCGCACTAGGCGCACCTCACCGCGGCGCGCACCGCCACGCGCGACTGCGTGCTCCGCCTCGCACACCTCCACCTCGTCCGCGAGCTCGGCCACGGCCACCTCGCGCGCGTCTTCCACTAGCAGCGGGGTTCGCGCGCCTCGGCGTGGGTGTCGCGCGCCTCGGCGGCGTGCTTCGCGAGCTCCGGCGGCGGATCGAGGCGGTATGAGGCAGATCGAGGCATATGCAACGGCGTGCGGCCGGATCCCTCCTTCCTCGGCCAGATCCGGCATGGAGGCGAGCGAGGAGGCCAGAGTGGAGGCGGGCGGCGCTCGGTGGGGAGGAAGGCGGGCGGCGCTCGGCGGGGAGAGAGGCGGGCGGCGCTGTTGGAGTTCGCTGGTTTGGGTTCGCTGTTGGAGTTCGTCGGTTTGGGTTGCGTTTTTTCTTCGCTGTGCGTGACCTGGGTCGGCTCTGTTGGAGATAGTCTAAACAACGAGACCCTAAAACCAGATCCACCTGACAGCACATGCTTCCTAAGAAAATGAAAAAACTGAGGCACGTGAATACCTGGAGAAGCATTTTCAACAGCAGCATTGGAATCCCATCCATTCAAAACCAAAAGTTTTCAGCTTGTAACTCGTGAGCAACCTAAGGATGACATCTCAGGATGGACACTATAAATACATGGCTCGGTCTCTCATCTTGTATGTACAACAATACACAATCTTCTAAGCCTTTCATTCGTCTCTGTACCACAGATGTCTCTTCCACTCCGTCATCTGCCAGGTCTGCTTCATCTCATGGTCATATCCGGTGTCAAAAGCAGTATATTGCACCAACTCTGATATAAGAGGGACTGAAGCAGCAATACCACAAAGAAGTTGTAAAAATCGTTAAGAAAGTAAGCAGCAATACTACAAAGAAGTTCTCTACTCTCCCTCTTCTGTCCTCTCCACCTAACTTTCACCAAGTTTATAGAAAAATACACCAACATCTAAGATATCAAATTAGTTTTATTTTTTTCTCAATGAAACATGTCTTGCTAGTGCATTTTGGACTTGTAAAAGTTAATATATTTTTCTATAACTTAGTCAAATTAGTTGACTTAGGACAAAGCTTAAGTGATCTAATTTGGAGGCAGTATGTTACTAGGATTCTGCATAAATATATAAGTGAACCATACAATATCAAAGGAAAATTATGCTTCTAACAAAGATTTTTTTCAGCTGGAGCATGTGAATATGGCACATTTGGAGCAACACTTAACAATGGCGATGTTTCTGCGTCAGCAAATCTCTACAGGAATGGGGTAGGCTGTGGTGCTTGCTACCAGGTAATGTCATTCTGCAAGTAGCAGTGGTGTAAAACTATGGAACTTAACTTTCTGTTCACACTAAACTTGTTAGCGATTACCAACAGGTCAGGTGCACAAATCCTTACTACTGCTCCCAAAACTGCGTGACAATTGTGATCACAGACTCTGAGGCTAGCGATGGGACTGACTTCATCCTCAGTCAGCATGCCTTCGCTAGGATGGGGCAGAACCAGAATGCTGGTTCAACCCTGATGAACCTTGGTTATGTAGGAATTGAGTACAGGAGGTCCGTGCATAATAAACTTGTCTAAAACTCTTGAGCAGTATGACTATTTTTTTTTCACAAGGCAAAGAAACTGAAAATTACAACATAATGATCTAGCACGATGAACTTATGACACAGCTAACATATTGAAATTTTAATGGTTTCACTCCACTACCGGGTTCCTTGTGTCTACCCAGGAAAGAATATTGTGTTCAAGATTACTCAGAGCAGCCATTTCCCCTACTATCTTGAATTTGAGATGGTACCAACAAGGAAACCAGGACATCATTGCAGTCCATCTTTGCGAGGTAAACACTAAACATTGCAGATCATGAAGAGATAAGGCATGACAAGTTATGATTATTCATGACTTGTATGAATTAGATCAATTGTCCAGAAATATTTACATATTCGTATTCCCTCCATCCTGAAATACAAGGGATTTTGCATTGTCCACAGTTTGACCAAATTTATAGAAACAAGCAATAATATTTTCGACACCAAAATAGCATCATTAGATAATTTATGAAATATATTTTTGTAATTTACCTCTTTGTTATGATAGATGTTAATACTCTTCTCTATATATTTTGTCAAACTTAGGACAACCCAAAATCCCTTGTATTCAAAACAGAGGCAGTATGTGGGAACTTAAGTTGAAGTTGTTAGCTCTAAATACCTGTTGATGGCTGAATGCAGACTGTGAACCTCACATGCCAGCTTCTAGCGGAACTCATGGTGCTGTATGGGCTGCAGTCTCCCCACCAAGTGGCCCTCTGTCCATAAGGATGCTATTTAGCAGCGGAGCTCCACATGGCAGCGACCAGAAATGGCTAGTTCCAACAAGCACAATACCACAGAACTGGACGGCAGGGGGCATGTATGATTCTGGGGTCCAAGTACAGCTGCAGTAACTATAATTGAGTACACAATAGCATTCTAAAGCTAGTTATGATGATCGATTGTTCCTATGCTCTTGCAACTTTTTTCTTTTCTTTTTTATAATTTGAAGGTTGTGGTGCCTACATAATAATTTCTCACGAAAGAACACACAAAGCTCTCCGTACAATTGATAAGCTCTCTTACCACTTCAACTCCTTTGAAAAAAGTGGTTAGTCTTATTTGTCAGGAGTGGACCAAATATCTAAAATGTACAAAAAAAAATGCCATTTGATGCAGAGAAAGCACAGGTTCATCAAAATTGAATATAATTAGCACCACAATTACATCAACATGGCCAAGATAAATACTGTACACAGACTTCAACTAATGCCCAACTAAATTTACAAAGACTGACTGACCCATTCAGTTGTCCACTGGCGAATACAAGTTCTGGATGAGGAGGAATTCCTGACAATCATGTCAGCCCTGAAGTTTTATCAAAGAAACAAATCAATTGTCAGTAAAACTTTCACATAATTGTAGTCAAAATTAACGAGCTTAGCAAACAAGGCTTTCTATTTCATTTCACATTCGAAAAAAATTAGCGGAAAAGCCTAAATAACCAAAGTTTCAATCTTGTGGACAAACAAAACCTGAGTTCAAATTAACTGAAAATAAAAGGACAAGCAAAACATTAAGAAGGGAATCACCATCTGTTTAGGAAATCTGATTAGAAGTGAAAGATATCAATTTGGCCTTGTACTGGTAGCTTAGTCCAGTAAACATATTAAAGGACGTTCATCTGATGCCAAACAGCTGAATAGCTGACAGCAGTGAAATGGATAAACAGTTAAACAGTAAGCAAAAAACTCCATAATGTTTTTGTATCATCCCTACTATCTCACCCCCACCCCTTGAGTTTTTTCATGTTTAGCGATGGACAATAAAATCAGCTCTCCTGAGTAAACTAACATACATCACTAACTACTTACCAATGTTGCCAGTATGATCTGAACTGTAGACTGAAAATGTGCACCATCAGAGCCCCATCAGGCCTGCCATTACACATGTGAAGTTCAATAAAACAGTAAAGAATGATGAGATGTTGGAAATATCGAAACATTATAGGTATATACCATTTGTTGTCTGTGCAACCACTCCTACTGGTGTTGAATGGTCAGGATGTTGGCTGCCTACAAAGGAAATTGGTTGACTACTTGAAGCAACAGTGTGATTTCCCATATCAGGATAGCCTGTCTGTAGAATATCATCCAGATGTTTCAGAAGAGCATTTGACTGACTTTCGATGTATGACATCACATCCTCAGATTTGGCAGCTCTTGAAGCAATCAAGCTAGCCAACTGGCACATGTTACTGAATCGGGCTTCTGAGGTTGATCGCATGACACCGCCAGATCCATAGGCAGGTTCCTCCCCAGTTTGAACAGAACGAGCATCTTTCCTCCATCTCTTCAAAATATATTGTTCTGGAAGTTCTTTGATATTCTTGAGATCCAGCACCTTCAGTACATGACAGCATTGAATCCCAACAGCTTCAAACTTCTTGCAGCTGCAAGTGGCCGAGCCATCTAGTGCATCAAATTTGACGAAGCTCTCTGATGGCTTCTCATCAAGCACAATCTTGTACTCCGAGATTGTGCCAACCACACCACAGGGGAAGGACAAGCAATTCATGTAAGCCTCAAACTCTCCCTGGAACATCTTGAAAGCTTCGGGTGTATAAGCATTTGATGATTGTTTTAGCATTCGCAACGACGGGATAGGCAGAGTAACCTGGCTGCAATCAACATCAGCATGCAATTTCTTTGATCGATGCTCTTCCAGAATAGACTCATAACGCCTGAAGAACTGCAGGATATCTTCTTGCTCACTGAGCTCTCGTTTCAGTTCATTGATCATGTTATCCTTACGAAGAGTTGAGAGTATATCAGCAGAAAAAATGGTTCTCTGATAAGGTAAAGCCCATTTTTCTTTCACCAGGAAAAGTCTGCTGAGCCACTCACTCTCACTAATGTCATGTTTCTCAATTAGCTTTTCCCATGCTGACAAGAACTCAATCTCATCCTCACAGTCAAAGAGACAATGGCTCAAAGCATTGCTGAAACTCTTTGAGCTTTCAAACACCTGCTTCAAGTGCCTCTTTGAATTATGGTAGATATGCCACACCCCTGTGCAGTGGTTGCTTCCAGGCCACACCTCTGCTGCTGCAATGGCACACTCAGGACGCTCATCAATCAAAATAGTTTGTGGGTGCCTAGCATGCATGGCATCAGCAAACACCTCAAATACCCATTTCAGCGACTGAGCGCTCTCATCATAAAGCAGTGCTGCACCAAACACAAGTAACTGCTTATGGTTGTCAACACCAACAAACAGTGCAAATGGCCGTCCATAAATGTTCAATCCATATGTTGTATCAAAGCAAACAACATCCCCAAAACTCCTGTAGTCAATTATTGATTTTGCATCAGCCCAGAAGAAATTTACAGCGGATTTCCCATCAGGCCCCACTCCTACTGCATAATACACTGAAGGATTCTCTACCTGCAACTCCTCCAAGTATTGCAATGCTGCGCCAGCATCCCCAAGCTGCACACCCTTCCCTTGCTTCCTTCGATGCATTTCCCCTGCCCCAAGCTCATGTGCACGAGCTCTCATTTTATGAGACCGCAGCTTATGCACACTCTCTGGATTGGCGAGAGGATGGTTATGCTCTGGAAAAAACTTTGCTACACGGTATGTCCGGCAGGGGGTGATCTTGATCACCATTCTCGCCTGGCATCCGGTCCGTGTTGGTGGCGGACCCGGCCTAGGTGTGCCTGCTGACCCTGCACCACCATTTGCACTGACTGTGGCTCCACCCTCTTGCTTGGTGCGGTCGCTGACACCCTCGCGGGAACAAACAAAAATCCGCGACACTATCATCCCTCGCTTCCGCTTCTTGTAGGAACGGCGGACACTGAAGCCTACGTGCTCAGCGTACCTGTTGTAGAAGACATACGCATCCTCCTCTGTCTCAAAATGCATATCAGGCCGCGGCCCATCCCTTGGGTCTGGCAAGCTGGCCGCGGCGGCAATGCTGTGGTGTGACGAGCTTGGCGGCAGCAAGGCCAGTGACACAGCGGGCGCGGAAGAGGCGAGCGGGTGGTTGTGATCGGCGACGAAGTCCGTAACGCGGAAGGCGTTTGCGGAAGGAATGAGCTTGATGGTGAGCGACGCTAGGCAGCCTGTGCGCGAGTCCGGGCACCGAGGCGCCGGCGCCAGCGAGGACGAGGACGCGACGCCGGAGCCTGCGGTCGCGTGCTGGGGCTTCTTGGGCTCCTGGCGGAAGCCCTGCTTGGAGCAGACGAAGAGGCGGCGGGTGACGGTGTGCCTTGAGTTCTTGGACTTGTTGGACTTGCGGACGACGAAGCCGAGACGCGCCGCGTAGGCCTTGTAGAACTCGTACGCGTCGTCCTCGGTCTCGAAGTACATCCCCACGCGCGGGGAGGTGGGGGCATCGGCGTCGGTGTCATCGCCGAGGGCGGAGGTCGATGCTGTCTGGGCCAGGTTGGTGGCGGCGGCATCGGCGGCACCAGAGGAGGAGTGGGAGGAGGAGCCGGAGGAGGTGGGGGACGACGGCGAGGACTCGCCGGAGAGGCGGGAAGGGTCCACGGCGGCGGACATTAGGGTTTGCGCCAGGGTTTGGAGGAAGGAGGAGGGAGAAGGGGACCTAGGGGTTGGATGGATCGCCTGCGGAAGCGGCGGGTGTGGGTCGACGTGTGTGGTTGAGCCTCCCACGGCAGGGAGCGAGTTGTTCTGCGACTTGGTCATGGGCGTCATGACTGAGTCGCTTCCTAGCCCTACATTTCAAATGAGTTCTCCCTTCTCTTTATAAAAGAAAAGAGGAGGAAAGACGGGAAAGAGTAAACTTTTAGTGTGAAATATAATTATAGTAATATATAGACTCGACTAATAGGCACACGACACATACGGATTAGATATCCCGCATGCACGCTTTCTCTCTTCTTCCTCATGCGATATCTTTTATTCTTCTTCCTCATGCTCTTGCGGTTGGCCCACCTTGCCCGGCTCCGGCAGCGTGGACGTCGCCTCTGCCGCCGCCCTCGACCATGGTCACCCCTATACTGAGCTTCTCCTCCAGATCCGGCGCGAGCGCCCCTGCCTCCTCCACTTCCCTGGCTCCCGTGGTGTGTGCCGCCGCCGCGCTGCCTCCGTCACCGTCATCCACTGCTGCCACACTAATCTTAAGCTTCTCCTCTTCTCCGGTGGACGCCCTCACCGCAAGCACTGCCCAACCGGCCTCTCCCACCGCCTGGCGGGCGGCACCCCCACAACCCGTCCTCCGCCGCCATCATGACCACGACCACCGCCAGTCCGGCAACCTCCTCAGCGACCCCTTCTAAGCGCGGAGAGCATAGAAGCCCATGAAACCACAAACCCTAATGCCACTACCTACTTCATCTTCGGTGGCGACGGCAGGCGAGTTCATCTGCAATTTTTTTTTATCTTTTAGTGTTTGCGTGCTGAAGCGTTTTTGCACGCGTGTGCGGAAAGAAGCATTTAGGTAACTATATTTGGATCCATGAACTCTCTAGTATCTAGAAGCTCTAGTGAACTACATAATATTCTTATGAATCAATAAAGCTAGCCAAATGGTATTCCTAAAAAAATCAGCTAGACTTGATGATGGTATTATCTGTATTAAAAATTATATATCATTTGTATATATTATAAAAGAGCAATTTTTTTTTGAGGTGGACTCTCTATAATACTCGTTCGATTTAGACGTAGTTTATCCGAGCCTTCCGTCATGCCACGGATCACACTATAGAAGAGTAAGTTTTTTTAGGGAAATACTCATTTTGATTTCACACATCTTGAGGAGAAGTTAGCTCTAGATCTTCTTTACGTAGTAATAAAAAGCTAGACATTATCAAAAAAAAAAAAAAAACTAGACAGTGTATGCATATTCCTTGATTTCACACGGCCTATAATAAGTTTAGCAAGAGCCTTTTCAGTATGAAGAAGATTCCCATCAGTACGAACAACAAGGCGAAATTGGCTTTTCCAATGATGGAATAATTAAAGGGCAATGAGGTCCATATACTCCTTCCTGTGTACAAGTCTAAAAACGACATATATTTCGACTAGAGGAGTGTGTGGAATTCCTATGGCACTACCTGCTCCAATTCATTCACCTTTATATATGATGATGCAAATAGTTCTGTTAAGAATGTCTATCCAAAATTCATGACACAGTTGCTCTATTTTCAGGCTGACTTGAAAATTTTGGAACCAATGGAAGAGGAAGAGTATAGCACTGAATCATCTAATGAAGAAGATATGCAAGAAGATGGTGAAAGAGAAGGAAATGCTGCTGAGAGTGATGTCTTCAAACCAGTTGATGTAGATCCAGCATGTTTACCAAAAGTAGGGATGATATTTACTCGGAGGAAGATGCCTTTCAGTTCCATGTGACATATGGCTATCATGCAGGTTTTGGTATTACAAGAAGATCTAACAATACCTTTGATGGTTTCCGCTATCGCTCTACATTCATATGTTCTAAAGGAGGGCAGTCTAGACTGAGGTCTGGTGTGACAAGACCTGCAAGAAAGCGAAACATGAAGACTGGCTGCAAGGCCAAGATGATTGTGAAGGATGCCCATTTTCAAAATCGCTGGGAAGTAATTGTTCTTGAGTTGAAGCACAACGATCCTAGCTTGCTTAAATTTAAGAGGCATTTGAAGAACTCTCCTTTTTCGATAAATCCACCTCGAATTTGCGAGTCTGAGGGACAACAGAGCACCTCAGCTCTTGGCCTCTTGTACATTCAATCAGAGTTGGTGATACTGGTGTAACGTCGTCTTCTACACATCTTGAATTCAAAACCAAAATAGACAGAAATAGGAAATTGAAACTGGCAGGAGACTTGGAGGACCTGTTGGATTTTCTCAACAAAATGCAAGCAGCCTGTTCATTTCGTCGTAAACGATCGTGGATTATTTACTGCTGGCTGGTTTGGTGTGAGAGAAAAATACTGTTCCAGCTTATAATCCACAATCGTATACGAGCAAGCGAACATGCTGAAGATCAAAACCCTTGTTCCTTTTACAGTTTAGATATGAATGAGCAAGGGCAGCTAAGGATTGTCTTTTGGGCTGACTCCAAATCACGTAGTTCATACAATTACTACTTAGGTGATGTTGTTGTTTCTCTTATAATCCGTCTTTTTCAGCTTGTTTTTTCAGCCGGAACAGTGTTTCGGCTTGTTTTTTCAGCGAAGCGAACGGTGTCACAAACTTTAGTAATCAGTATGATATGCAGTTTGTGTCACTCATGGGCACTAACCACCATGCACAGCAAGTGCTACTAGGTTGTGGCCTGCTTGCTGGTAGATATCTTGGGGCTTATGTGTGGCTTTTTGGTACAAGGTTAAGATGTATGAATGCCAAGCCACCACATTCAATAATTACGAACTACTGTCATGATGTAGCGATAGCTATTAAAAAGGTTTTCCCTAACGCACGGCACCGTTTTTGCCTTTCACACATATTAAATGAGCTTCCTGAAAAGTTGGAAGAAATGGAGAACAAGGATGAAATTATTTCCACATTCACCACACTGGCCTGTGATTATGTTAGGAATGACTTTGACAGAGAGTGGCAAGGTACCATCCAACATTTTCATTTAGAGGGAAATGAATGGCTGTCCAAACTATATGAGATCAGGATGCAGTGGGCTCCTGTTTATGTTAAGGACTCGTTTTGGGCAGGAATGTCTGTCACAGACAGAAGTGATAGTGTATCTGACTATTTGATGGCTGGTTGACGTCAGGAACCTCTTTGAAAATGTTTGTAGAGAAGTATGAGGAAGCTGTTAAAGGCAAATTAGAAAAGGAGTATTATGAAGATTTACGATCAGCTCAGATGAGGCCACCAATGATGACAGCTGACAGGGTTGCCTGCGGAAGATCAAGCAGCAAAGGTGTACACTGCAGAAATCTTTCAGAAGTTCTTCAATGAAATAGGAAATTCATTTCATTACAATTATAGTATACTTGACCGGAATGATTCAGTGGTTACATACATAGTTTCGGAGCATGTCGATCAAACAAACAAGGTAGATTACAAAGTTGCTTATGATAATGTTCAAGGTGACATATGGTGCCTCTGCCGTTTGTTCCAATCCAAAGGAATATTGAGTAGGCATGCACTCACTGTACTGAGACAGGATCTTGTGCTGATGATTCCACAAAAATACATCATTCATCGCTGGTGCAAGGACTGTAAACAAACCTGTGCTTCCATATCCCAGCCTGTCTCAGCAGGTAATCAGGAACTGGGAAGCTACGATGATCTGTACAAACTTGGCCACCAATACTTTGCAGAGGTTGTGGAATTTGGTTCCATGAACTCAGAATCAAAAGAATATGCTTTGTCAATCATGAGGGAAATCAGGGAAAGTGATTTCATATGAGAAGTCACTAAGAGATCAAAGGGTTGACAACCATGTTTCAGCAGCCAACTTTGCATACAATCCTGTGAACGAGGATTAATTTACTGATGATACTTTGCCCATCTCTCTTCGTACAAAGGGCTGGGATCTTACACAAGGTCAATCCAAACGTTCCCGAAAGAAGAAGCTGGCAACCCCAACTGTTCTTGATACGTTGAAAAAGAAAACTAGAAGGGAGTATAACAAGGGGAGGAATGCCACTGCAAACACCCTAAACACAGCTGTCACTGCAACTGACAGCGTAACTGATGGCACAAATGTATGTGATGCTATTAGATTTGTACATTTGGCTAGAAATTATTGTTTTGGTTGTTTTGGAAATAAAGTTTTTCTCTTATTTTTTATTAGGTCCTGCGACCTGCAGAATCCTGTAAACGAGGGATGGCAGATAACGTCAACCTGTGCTCCGGAAACATTCACTTATGGAGTAATCCCAGATATAACCTTTTCTGTTTTTGTCTTCTCTTTGCTCTTTCAGGAGTAGGTGGAATTCACTTATACTAACTAACCTTCATTTTTGCAGGTGGAGACCATTTCATTTGATTTGTCACAATACAACAATGCCCCGAGCTTCCATTGGCCTGAAAGCAGCAGCAGGTCTCAGCTCCAGTGAGAGTAGGTAACAGTGCAATTGTGGATGCCTTCGAATAGACTAAGTTCTGACAGCCTCGTAATTGGGAAAAACTGGGGTTGATGGATCAGGTTTGACCTTTCTATTCCTGCCTGGGACTCTGGGAGCCAGTGACCACCTGAACGGTGAAAAGAAAAGGGATCAAATGCGGCGAAGTGAAATCTACCATCTTTGAAGCAATTTGGTAGAAAGGGTTCTGTCCAGTATGCATGTGCTTGTCTAACTGTCGAGCTGTACATAACCATTTCTTTTTTTTTTCTTCCATGGATATTTGCTGCTCCCGATAGATTTACCTGAACCTGTATAAGGGTCAGATGCCCCTGAATCGATCTCAATTTCTCAAATAATCACCTGATGATGTTTCCCTTTATATCCCTCGTTAAATGGTATGCCCTTCTCTGAACTCTGATGAAGTCATTTGTAATCTGAGGTTTGTTGCTTATTTGTTGTCCAGTAACGTCATACCCTGGAGCTGGGATCCAGCAAGTTGATCCCAGGAAATCTCTGAGCCTGGCGAAGAACATATATGGGCTGTTTCTATAGTCGTTTCTAAAATTAATGTTATATCGAATGTTTAGATGTTAATAAAGAGCATTAAATATAGATTAATTACAAAACCAATTACATAGATGAAGATTAATTTACGAGACGATTTTTTAAGCCTAATTAACCTGTCATTAACATGTGTTTACTGTAGCACCACGTTGTCAAATCATGGACTAATTAGGCTTAAAAGATTCGTTTCGTAAATTAGTCGTAAGTTGTGTAATTAGTTTCGTAATTAGTCTATATTTAATACTTCTTGTATATGTTCAAATATTTAATATGACAGAAATTTTAGAAACGCACCAAAACAAACATGGCCATAATTTACATAGATGCTGTACAACCCATTGATTTGCTCTGTCCTTGTGCAGGAACATAACAGCTGGCTCCGCTGCATCCCAAGGCTGAGCTCAGCCACTTGTGGCGCCCCTTCGTCTCCGGTCGTCGAGCTCGTGCCACGGCCGTTGATCCTGGGACTGCCGTCAAGCCTGCTCCGGTATGCGGATCTTGGCGTAAAACTATTATCCATAACATGCCATCTCATAAATTTTACTAGTTGTTTGCACCGCATTCACATGCTATATACTGCATTCATTTCAAATAATAAATCGTTTTGTTTTTTTAGCGGCAAAATAGTTATTTTGATCCCTGAACTATTACTCGAGGTTTATTTTTATTTCTGAACTTTCAAAACGGCCGTTTTACTCTTCAAACTCTACTGTTAGGCTCAATTTTGTCCTAGAACTACGAAGATTATCATTTCAGTTCTCAAACTTTGCATTTTAGGCTCAATTTCATTCTAAAACTATAACGACGATCATTCCCGTCCTCAAACTTTGCATTTTCGGTCTTTAAACTTTTATTTTCAAACTCAACTTTGTCTATCGTTCTACGTGGAACGTTGTGCTGTTGCATGGTTAGCTTCAACACCACCATTGATTGGAGATAAAAAAAATATTCATCCAAAAACACTTTAGTGGCCATTAATAATTATAAGCTGTTATTTTTACTGTTACCTTATAATGGTACCATTTATATATATTCGACTATAAATAATTCTTTTAGAAGCAATAACAGTTGCTTCTAAACGCTATTTATTTCTTAAGAATATATGGATATATTGAAACAATAGCAGATCTATAATTTTTTCTTAGCTACTTCTAACGTTAGGCTCAACTAATAACCAATTGTGTATAAAATAATATTTTTTATCCATTGGCTAAAAATAATTCATATTTAAAAATATTTAGATCTATACTTATATTCATCTTAGAATATGAATACAAATGTTGAAAGTGTGCTATCCGATTCGGTAGCTGAGACGACGCTAGGGATGACTGTCCATCTCAAATCGCGGGTGCTGCTGGACAAAAGACAAAGTTGTGCCAAAATGCATTTTGATAATTCATGAATGAATTTGTGCCTAAAATATAAAGTTTTCTTTTTGATAGACAAAATTGAGTTGAAAATAAAAGTTTAAAGACCAAAATGCACTTTGGTAATTTATGGATGGAATTGAGCAAAAAATGTGAAGTTTAACGACTGAAACGATCATCTTCGTAGTTTTGGGATAAAATTGAGCCTAAAGTAGAATTTGTGGACTAAAATGGTCATTTTGAAAGTTTAAGGATGAAACTGAGCCTCGAGTAATAGTTCAGGGACCAAAATTGCTATTTTGCCTTTTTTAGCCTATTTAGTTTCCTAGTTTTGCCAAAAGTTTTGTTGTTTTATTCTATCTTTTGGCAAAATAAATCTAAACACCATGGATCAAAAACAACAAAATTGGTGCTTTAAAACTTTTGGCATTTGGGACCCAAGAGGCCCAAAACTGGCCAAAAACGCGGGGAGGGGGGGGGGGCGAGCCGGACGCCCACTACCCCCGCACCCACCCACCCCGCCGCTCAGACCCTATCCATTCCTCCGTAGTCACTCCCCACCGCTTTCGCTCTCTCCCTCCGCGCGAACCCTAGCTCCGCCCGCCGCCGTCGCTCTCGCTCTGAGCCTCCGCGACCAACCAGATCAACCTCCTCCTTCACGGCCTCCAGATCCAGCTTCTACTCCTCTGGCCCCAGATCCAGCTCTTCCTACGCCGCCGGCCTGAGCCAGGCCCTCCTCTCCGGCCTCGCTGATGGATGGCTACAACGTTGACGGCGACGGCGACGGCAACGAGAACGGGGATGGCGACCGCACCAGGGACTTCTTCTCGCAACATAATCCGTTTTCCCCCGTCGGCGGATACGAGAACTTCAACGACGTGGCATATCCCTTTCCGGCCTCGAACAGCGTCAATGCTCCCCGGGCGGGCATGGCGGCGCTCGACCTCAACTCCCATGGCCAAGAGTGGCCCGGAATGGCAGGCTATGAGTGCCTCCTTCGCTCCGGCCCACAAGGTGGAGGCATCGGCAGCAACATGGGTCCCCCTCCCGTTCATGTCCGTAGCGGCAATCGTACCCTCGGCTTACGCGCGGTTCGCAGTGGCGATGGAGGAGGCGCCATGGCCGCTCACGCCTTGTCGTCATCCTCCGGTGGTGGCTGTGGCCCTCCATTGCCTCCTGTGACCGCCGGCGTGCGCGCCTCACGTGGATCTGCATCCGGCGCACCTACCGGATCTAGGAGCCGCGATGGACGTCGACAACCCACGACGTCAGCTGTTGCGAAAGACAACCTCGACATCAACAACCCAAATGAAGCTGATGATGACGAGATCCAACAGATCTTTTCGAACACTCAAATCCTGGTATTTTTTCAGAACCTAGAAAATTTTGCTATTTGTTTGATTTTTGCTGTCTTCGTAATATATGTGCATATTCTTGTTATGCATCGTTTAGGATAGAGTTGATAGGGGGAATTGGTCAGAACCAAATATCGGGAAACTGTGTGAGATTTGGGTTGACCAAATTACTAAAGGTAACTGCTTGAATGGTGTCATGAACAAGACAGGGATGAGGGAGGTCATAGGAAGGTACTATTTTGCAACCAATTTGGTTCATGATAGAACCCAGATCGGTAATAAAATTAGGCAATTGAAGGGATATTGGCAATTCATACAAAGACTGCGTAATGACACTGGCTTAAGCCATAAATTTGATGGAACTGTTGATGCTACTGATCAATGGTGGGAAGACAACACTAAGATAATTGCCAAACTGCTTGTTTGCTATTTATGTCTAGTAAGCTCTACCCTTGCTCATAAAGATAAGTTCTATAGGGCCACCTAGACTGAAAGAAATGCAAGAGTGGGTGGCTAGGTTACATCAATGAGTTGGACCAAATGTTCCATGGTGTAGCTGTTGATGGCTCCACCTCATTTGTTCCAGGAGAAAGTGTCGCTGTGGATGAGGAAGAGGAGGAGGAGCCACCTAAGGACCTTGATGTGCAGACCCCAGTTAGCATCAGTAGCCACAAGAGAACAAGCAGCACAAGCACCACTGGCTCTAGTCCCAGCAAGAAGTCCAAGAGCCCAGCAGTTAGGAGCATGGACAAGTTCATGAGCGAGAATGCCAGGATTCAAGTTGAGAGGAATCTGATATTGAAGAAACATTTGGAAAACAAGCAGCAGATTGCATATCAGCTTGCCCAGAAGAAGGAGGTTGCTAGAGCAAAAAAGATTAGGTATGTGCAGTAGTTGGCTCGAGAGTGTGGTGTAGACGAAGGAAACAAGCAGTTGTGGTATGATGTACACAAGATCACCAAAGATGACGACAGCATGGAGTTCTTCATTGGAACATCTACACCAATAGGAAGCCTAGGCTTCATCGAGAACTTTGCCGGGGTCAACAACTAGATCCTCTTATCTTAACTATGTCTGTCATTTGAACAATTCATGTCATGCGAACTATGTCTGTTATTGTAGTAAGGGTGTCATTTGAACTAAGTATGTTGTATTTGCACTATGTCATTTGAACTCTGTCATTTGCATTATGTCATGAGAGTTTGCACTATGTCAGTTGAACTGTGTGATGAATTTCATTTGTGATTGCGATGTGAGCTTGTCATGCATGATCAATTTTTAACTGGCATATATAACTGAGATTGCCATGCATTTATGTGTCAGGATGCTCAAGCAGCGAGGGATGGGGACAATTATGATGAATCAAGTGATGAGGATATCTACATAATGCTTCTTGAGGATGATGACAACGATTTTATGAACGGTATGTACCTGTTTGCTATTCACCATATACTGCAATAGGGCTGAGAGGAGGAAACCATTGCTAACTGGACTGGAATGGGTAGAGAGAAAGCTAGGAGATAGAAACAACTGCTACAACATATTTAGAATGAGCCCAACTGTATTCCATCGACTTCATGATCTGCTAGTTGAGTCATATGGCCTGATATCTAGTACCAAGAGTACCTCTGTTGAGGCTTTAGGAATGTTCCATTGGATGTTTGGAGCACCACAGTCAGTTAGGCAAGCTGAGGATAGATTTGAGAGATCACTAGGCATAGTTCACAATAACTTTGAGAAAGTTTTGCAATGTGTGGTTAAGCTAGCTGCAGACATCATTAAGCCAGTAGACCCAGACTTTAGAACAATTCATCCTAGATTGAGAAACCCTAGGTTC